AGTAGTGTCCCAATCTGGACAAATATTCTTTCTAATGTTCTTGTAAGTACTGCTACAGACTTCCTTTCTCTCAGATAGGTGTAGCTAGGAATCTTATACTGCCCAAAGAGCCAAATGAAGAGATTCTCAAATATTGACTAACCACTGACATCAACATTATAGATATCAAATCCCAGAGTTAAATTGGATAAAAGATCTTTGTTCTTGTTAATATCCCTAACAGCAAAAGCCAGGGCCTGAACAAGATGTTAAATCTTGAAGATAAACTTGTATAATATTCATAGAAACAATTCAAATGTTACCTTCAAGTTGAGTGCATTGATTTCTCTGCAAAAAGATTATGTTGAAACACAACCTCCACTATGTGGAATGAGAATGTAATATCTTATATATGTAGAATTAAGTGAAGACATGAAAGAGAATTTCTTATGAATTTTTATGAGATTCAGAACATTGAGAAAACTCAGAGAGAGCTTGCTTTTGTCTAATATGACAATACATGGGAAAGGCATCTAGGGCTATCCTCTCTCCTCTGGCTGTCCACACACAGATCTGATTTTTCCACCTGACTTCTTGGAAAGCTGACAAGTGTATTGGAGCTCAGGATGCAAATGACAAAGTAGAACACTCAGAATTTGGGAACCTGGGGCTGGGAAGGTGGCTTAGTGATAGAGGGCTTGCCTAGCATGCATGAAGCCCTGGGTTTGATTTCTCAGTACCACACAGAAAAATCCAGAAGTGGTGCTGTTGCTCAAGTGGTAGAGTGCTGGGCTTGTGCAAAAGAAGCTCAGAGGCAGTGCCCAGGCCCTGAGTTCAAGCTCCAGGACTGGCCAAAAAAAAAGAGAGAATAATTTGAGGACCTGAATTCTGAGTGCTCTACTCATTCACACAAGGACAGACATCCCAACAAAGATAAATATACAGCTTCTTGTTTAAGAAAGTATTTAATTTGCCCACTTCTTTGGATTGTTTGTTCTTGCAGTGTTTAATTTTTTGAGTTCTGGATATTGATCCTAGAATAAATAGCTTGCAGAGATTTGCTCCCATTCTGTGTACTGCCTCTTGAGTCTGTACATTGTTTCCTTTGACATGCAGAAGATATTTTTGCCAGTCTTGGGGCTTGAACTCAGGGCCTGGGCACTGTCCCTGAGCCTCTTTATGCCCAAGGCTAGCACTCCACTACTTGAGGCAAGCATCAGCTTTCTGAGGTAATTTTTTGGAGATAAGAGTCTCACAGGACCTTTCTGCTCAGGTGGCTTCGAACTGCAATCCTCAAATCTCAGCCTCTTGACCACTGGCACCCAGCTGTGCAGAAGATTTTTAATGTAATCCCATTTATGAAATCCCTATATATTTTCTGAGTTCTTACAGCCCTGTTTAGGAAGTTATTGCCTCTGTTTAAATGTCTCAATGTTTGTTCTAGCCTTTCTTGTTGTCAAGGTCTCAAGTCATACATCAAGGTCCTTTTTTATTTCTTTTGTTGATTGTGGGGCTTGAACTCAGGGCCTGGGTTCTGTTCCTAAACTTTTTCACTCAAGGCTAGCACTCTACCATTTTGAGCTACAATACCATTTCTGGTTTTCTAGTAGTTCACTGGAGATAAAAATCTTACAGACTTTCCTGCCTCGGCTGGCTTTGAACAGTGATCTTCAGATCTCAGCCTTCAGAGTACCTAGGATTACAGGCATAAGCCACTGGTGTCTGTCTACATCAAGATATTTGACCCATTTTAAAAGATATTAGTTTAAGGCTGACAGTAATTCCAACCCAAGAATAAAATAATCTTTTATCCCCATCAAGAGACATGGTAGAAAATAGCCAACCAACTTGATTCAATATCAGAAAAATAACTACATGTCATCAGTCTCAGAAAGACTACCTTTTTTATTATCACAACACACATAAAAATATTAAGTATTATAAATAAATATATAACCAGGGGGCTGGGAAGGTGGCTCAGTGGTAGAGGGCTTGCCTTGCATGCATGAGGCCCTAGGTTCGATTCCTCAGCACCACATAAGCAAAAAGAAAAAAAAGCCGAAAGTGGCGCTGTGGTTCAAGTGGTAGAGCACTAGCCTTGAGCTGAAGAGCTGAGGGACAGTGCACAGGCCCAGAGTTCAGGCCCCACGACCAGACCCAAATATACTGTATGTACTGTATATATATATATATATATATATATATATATATATATATATAACCAGGTACCAGTGACTCACATCTGTAATTCTAGCAACTTAGTGGCTGAGATCTGGGGATTGTAGTTCAAAGTCAACCCTGGCAAGAAATTCCCTGAGTTGTTCTGCTCAAGACTGGCTTTCTCCAACTTCAGCCACAGCTTGGTAGCTTGTTGGTGGTTAATTGGAGATAAGATTCTCGTGGCCTTTCTTGCCAAAGCTGCCTTTGAATCATGATCTTCAGTCTCAGCCTCCTGAGTAGCCAAGATTATAGGCATAAACCACCACATGCAATCTGCCTAGAGTTCTGTGGTCTGACTCCTCAATGGACTCTCTTATCCATGCTTTATTAATGTCTCCCAAGATGAGAGATTTACAGTTTCTATATGATCATGAAAGTTTCACAATTCCTCTTTCTAATCTCAACAGCTTCTTCTGGAAAAACAGGTGCAACACATGCCCACATCCAAACAGACAGACAGACATACCTGCAGACACATGAGTACAAATACCATTCAAAATCACTCCTGGAATTATGGCTTCCAAACATGGTACCTTCTAGTAAGAAGACAAATGAGAGGGCAGTAGGAAGTCGATGTGTTGTGGAGACTTATTATTTTATTATTATTATTTTGTTTTTGTGCCAGTCCTGGGACTTGAACTCAGGGCCTGGGCATTGTCCTTGAGCTACTTTTGCTCAAGCATAGCACTCTACCTCGAACCACAGTGCCATTTCCAGCTTTTTCTGTGTATGTGGTATTGAGGAATGGAACCCAGGGCTTCATGCCTGCTAGGCAAGCACTCTACCACTAAGCCACATTCCCAGTCCTTATTATTTTATTATTACTCCTTGGAAGTTCTTAAAATGAACTGAGTAGTGGGACTAGTGACAACAGTGGGAGTCTATCTCTGCTGTTCCTAAATGAAAGATTTGGCAAGCTTTGAGAACAAAAGAAGTAGTCATGGAAGGCAGTGTTTCTGAATCTCACCTTTTCACCCTCACCTACCTCATACAAAGTTCTGTGCAATGATGTATTTATGAAACAAACAGAATGCCAGAAACTGGTGACTCACACTTATAATCCTAGCTGCTCAGGAGATTGAAATCTGAGGATCATGGATTATGGTTCAGCCTGGGTAGGAAAGTCTGTGAGACTCTTATCTCCAATGAACCACAAAAGGCCAAACTGAAGCTATGGGTCAAGTGGTAGTACACTAGCTTTGAGCACAAAAGCTCAGGGGCAGTGCCCAGGCCATGAGTTCAAGCCCCAGGACCAGCAAGAACATGACTGCCACAGGATCTGCTTCATACACATATATTTTCCTCTCTGCACCTCCATGTGATTCCCACACACACACAAGGTTCCAGCAGTTTGCAGTTACCTGACCATCGCCTCCACTGGGAATAATGGAGGTGTCTAACTGGATGAAGATGACAGGTGCACGTCAAAACTGTGAGCTCCTTTTTAAGGAGGACCAGCTCTGAAAGGAGTGAATTCCTGACTGCAATGTGTAGGGACATTATCATGCTTTGATTGCTACAGTCCCTCAATCTCTGGGGATTCAATATCCAGAGCTCCTTGCTAAGAAGAAATATAATTGTCTCCCTCCTGGTCCTACAGGATCCCACCCTTAAAGATTAGGAGTCAAACAAAAAAGAATTCAGGGAGCTGAAAATGTGGCTTAGTGATAGAGTGCTTGCCTAGCATACATGAAGCCCTAGGTTCAATTCCTCAATACCACATACACAGAAAAAGCCAGAAGTGGAGCTGTGGCTCAAGTGGTAGAGTGCTAGCCATGAGCAAAAGAAGCTCAGGGACAGTGCCCAGGCCCTGAGTTCAAGCCCTAGGACTGGCAAAAAAAAAAAAGAAAAGAAAAGAAAAAAAGAAAAAAGAATTCAGGATGTCTTATTGCCTGACCCTAGAAGTTATGTTCCTCATTCTCTTCTTCCCTAGGCTTTTTTATTTGCTCATATTTAATTCTTACACCTTGAACACATTACATGGAACTCTTTTCTTTATTCTATTTATTTACAGTCATGGGGCTTGAACTCAGGGCTGGGTGCTGTTCCTGAGCTTTTTCACTCAAGGCTAGTGCTCTACCACTTTGAGCCACAGTGCCACTTTCAATTTTTCTGGTGGTTAACTGGAGTTAAGAGTCTCAAGGACTTTTCCTGCCCAAACAGAACCATGATCCTCAGATCTTAGCCTCCCAAGTAGCTAGGATTACAGGCATGAGCCATCAGCACCTGGCTATTTTTCTAACAAATTACATCCTCTGGCCAGGTGTTATTGACTCACCCTAGTAATTGTAGCTACTCAGAAAGCTGAGGGTCAGAGAATTACAGCTCAAAGGCAGCACAGATAGATACTCCATAAGACTTTTAATCTCAATTGAACTACATGAAAGCCAAAATTGGAGCTGGAATTCAAGTAGTACAGTGCTAGTCATGAACATATAACTCAAGGACAAATCTCCAGGCCCTGGCACAGAAGGAGAGACAGACAGACAGACAGACGAAGAGAGAAAGAGAGGAAGAGAGAGAGAGGGAGCAAGGAAGGAAGGAAGGGAGGGAGAGAAAGAAAGGAAGGAAGGAGATAAAGAAGAAGGAGAGAGAGATAGAGGGAGAGGGAGAGATTGAGAGGTAGGGTAGGAATGAGGGAGAGAGGAAGGAAGGAAGAAAATGCTTAGTGATGGTTTTGATACACCATTCTCTTCTCATTTTAAACTCTGTTAAAGCCAGTTCCTAGAACCAAGGGCATGTTCATCGAAAAAGGAACCCTATAATGAGAGTCCTCAGGGCTGCTTTCATCTCCACATTCCTCAAGCGGTAGATAAGGGGGTCATCATTGGAGGGACCACCATGTACAGCACTGAAGGCACCACGTTCTTGATGGAAGCACCAATAATGGCAGAACTCAGGTACACACCAAACCCTGTCCCGTAGAACAAGGACACAACTGACAGGTGAGAGCCACAGGTGGAGAAAGCTTTAGACCTGCCTCCCGTTGAAGAGATCCTCAAAATAGAGGACACAATTTGGATGTAAGAGAAAATAACCCCAGAGAGGGGTACAGCAAAAAATGTGACACCCACTAAATAGACCAGGAAGTTATTGATGAGGGTGTCCGAACAGGCCACCTTGATGACCTGGGCGAGCTCACAGAAGAAGTGAGGAATCTCCACATCCCGACAGAAGGACAGACGCAACGCCATCAGACTATGGAGCAGGGCATGCCCTGTGCTCGTGAGAAGAGAACAGAGGACCAGCAGGACACAGAGGCCAGGATGCATGATGGCCGAGTACCTCAGAGGGTGACAGATGGCCAAGTAGCGGTCATAAGCCATCACGGCAAGGAGACAATTTTCTAAGCCACAGAAAGTCAAAGTGAGGCAGGTTTGGGCCAGGCAGCCTGCATAAGTGATGCTCTGGTCCTGGGTGTGGATATTCACCAGCATCTTGGGGGCTGTGGTTGAACTCAGACAGATGTCATTAAAGGAGAGATTGGAGAGGAAGAAGTACATGGGGGTGTGGAGGTGGGGGTCAGAGCTAACAGCCAGGATGATGAGCAGATTTCCGAGCACAGTGATCAGGTACATGGACAGGAAGATGCTGAAGATGAGAGGCTGGAGTTCTGGATCGGCAGTGAGTCCCAGGAGAAGGAATTCTGACATCACACTTTGGTTTGTGAATTTCATGATGAAGCTCAATCTTAACTGGAAACGAAACAACATAGACTAGGGTAAAATGAGGTAAGCCGTGGAAAATGGGTCTACATAACATTACCTTAGTCTCACAGCCATCTTGGCATCTCAGTGGGTGGTAGGGGCTTTTCATCCAGCTCTGGGAAAGCCTATAGGTGAGGTAAGCCATTCTTGGGATTTCAGATGGTATGTTGTTTAGCCCACAAAAGCTTTGTTATATAGAATGCTCACCCTTGATTATTTCTTACATGGTTTGCTTTGCTCACCACTATTTCCCTATATGGTTTTCTTTGTTTGTCCCTGAGTTTTCCCCTGTGTGATCTGCTTTTGTGGGGTGGGGGGTTGGATCTCTACCCCAAACATGTGGTTTTTGTCTTGAAAAGCTGTGTCCAAGCTACTTTCTGGGCTACAGGTCTTTGGGACTAGTGTCTACCTGCAGTCACCAGCTCTCCAATAAAGACTCCCAATTCAATCTCTCAAAATACACTGTTTCTCATGATTGAATTCCCATACAACAGTAAGCTTATAGCAAATACGGAGCTATTCATTCATTTACTTTCTGTAAGATTAAAGAACCAAAGTCTTAGGGGGAAATGAGGCAGGATAAATTGAGGGAAATGGGCAACTCAGAAGCATGGTATTTGGAAACACAGATGCACTATCCTTGCCTCTGAGAGAGACAACAGGATGCATTCCTTCCTGAGAGATGCATTTCTCCCTCTAAGAATTAACGTTTGTTTGGCAGGATGTATGCCTTTCTGAGAGAAATGTTCCCCCCAAAACTTAAGCAACCTTCCTTATCTCAAAGATAAGCATCCATTTTATGACAAGATACAGTCTTACCTGGAGAAAGAGCCCAAAACATCCAGGAACTCATAAAGGAACACCAGGAGAGATTAGAGCAAAGGTAAAACCTCTATTTTTGTGAAACTGTGAAGTCAGACGCCCTGCTTTTACCATATAAATACCCCTATCATGGATGAGCTGTGTGTCTTTCTCTTGCTCTCCCTTCCAGAGAGCACCTACAATCTGTTAGCATGTGCTTTCTCCTTTCTGCTTTTCTGTCTGTTTTTTGTCAGTTTGCCTGTTTGCTTACTTACTCAATAAAACTCCAAGTTTTATAACCATCATGACTTGTCCAAAAATTCTTATTCTGCAATCAAAGTTAAGGACCCTAAGTGAAAAGTCCCTACTTTTAGGGGGAAATTTCCCAAACCTTCACCTGCATATGATGACAGAAAGATGGGTGAAAATAAAACAAAATTAAATTAAATGGAATGATTTCTGGATGTGCAACAACTGAATCCTATGGGGACTTGATAGAAATGAGAATTCTGGGACCTCTCTGGATTTAGTGATGAGATGTGGTTCTTTAAAAAAAAAAGAAATCTATCTTTGACCAAATATTAGGGAAAATGAAGCATAGTAAAGAGCAGCCAGTAATTTAACAAACAGCTTAAAGCTTAAATACAGGAGACTGGAAAAAAATACAGGAGACTGATCTTCACCCATCAACTTCCATTAAAATTAAAAGGACCAAAGTTGTTTTAGAGAAAAGAAAGGCAGGACAGACTAGGGAAAATAAGGTGAATGGCAGCCAGGAATTTAGAGACATAGCTGTATCTTCTTTGTTTTAGCCCTTGCACTGCTTTATAAACCTAGGTATTAGCACAAGGTAAAAGAAAAGAGTAAGAGCAGCTTTCTCCATTTGACCTTGCCTGCCAACCCCAAACCATTAGTGTGCTCTAAAAACTGAGACAGGACATTATTAAAAGAAAGACATGGGGCTGGGAATGTGGTTTAGTGGTAGAGTGCTTGTCTAGCATGCATGAAGCTCTGGGTTCTATTCCTCAGTACCATAAAAACAGAAAATGCTGGAAGTGGCTCTGTGGCTCAAGTGGTAGCATGATAGACTTGAGTAAAGGAGCTCAGGGACAGTGCCCAGACCCTGAGTCCAAACCCCAGACCTGGTGAAAGAAAGAAGGAAAGAAAGAAAGAAAGAAAGAAAGAAAGAAAGAAAGAAAGAAAGAAAGAAAGAAAGAAAGAAAGAAAGAAAGAAAGAAAGAAAGAAAGAA